CTAGATGACAGCTAAGGTCCCTTCTAACTCTAAATCTATTATTCTATGAAGAATTTTCCAATGAAGGAACACAGCAGAAGGGACTGCAAACACCAGCTGACCCAGGCTCTGCCTTTGAGCTAGTCCATGCTTAAACCATCTTCAGAGACAAAGCCTTGAAGACTTAAAAATTAACATCCTATACTGCATACACTGAAGATAAAATTGACAATCAGTCAATCAAGTCTTTATTAAGCACCTACTGTATGAACAGGCCTAAAAACTAGCATCCTCTACTGCATAGACTTTGGACAATATTGACAGTCGATCAAGCCTTTATTAAGCACCTACTGTGTGACAGGCACTGTTTGATAGGCACCACCTTATAGTTCCTGGGCCAGCAAAGTAAAAGGCATTATTGTAAGACCCAGCTTTAAGATTCATTCTCCACTAAATCTCTTACCCACAGCAGGACAGATCAACTGCAAAATCACAAGACTGCATGAACAAATTCAAGCATATCCAAGTGATCATCCATCAGAGACACTGTCAAAGTGGCTCCTAAGTTGGTTTGGAAGTTAAATTGGAAGATCTCATAGAGTGCCTTCATAAACCATCCCTTCCAGTGATTCAGGCGGAGCCAGGTACAAAGAGCTCCAACCCGCAAAGAAACTCACCAGCAGTTTCCTAGGTTATCCGTGAGGGCTGAAATCATCCAAGACAGATTTTAAAATGGCACTAATTGAACCTACCTTAAGACACTGAAAACAAGCACAGATTCTATATACTTTGCCAAACTCATCCATAACTTCTATCAGTTTTCAGTCAATCAACAAGCATTTAGTAAGCATCTACTATATGCCATGCACTGTACTAAGCACCAAAGATACAAAGAAAGGCAAAAATACAGTTCCTGTCCTCAAAGAGCTAATATTCTAATGAGAGATAAATATATAGGTATGTATATGATGGATATAATAATATAACTAATATTTCTATAGTGCCTACTATGTTCCTGGCATTATGCTAAGTGCTTTACAAACATTCTTATCACATGTGATCCTCATAGCAACCCTAGGAGGTAGGTGTTATTGCTAGCTTCATTTTACAGCTCAGGAAACTATGGCAAACAGCAGTCAAATGACTTACCCAGGCTCACACAGCTAGTAAGTATCTGAGGCCAGCTTTTAACTCAGATTATCCTGACTCCAGGTCCATCGCATTGTCCAGTGTGCCACTAGCTGCCTCTAAAGGGGACCATAGGTGAACCCCCTTATTTTATAGATAAGAAAAATTGGAACCAGAAAAGTTGGGACTTGTATAGACAAGTCACCCAGATGGAAAGTGGAGCCAGGATTTGAACCCAGGTTTTCTGCTTCCAAAGCCCATGCTTTAGCCACTCCTCTACTTCCTGAACTTACCTTTCTGACCATGAGCCTCTAAGGTTTAGCCTCCAATTGTGAGAACAGCAGGTTTTTGTTTGGACACTACAAAAGTAAATTGTCCAGATTAGATGATAGGGTTTGGTTTCTCTCCCCAGTCTCATCCCTGATTTCTTTTTCTTTTTTTTTTTTTTTTAAATTTTAGGCAATTGGGGTTAAGTGACTTGCCCAGGGTCACACAGCTAGTAAGTATCAAGTGTTTGGTCTGAGGCTGGATTTGAACTCAGGTCCTTCTGACTTCAGGGCCGGTGCTCTATCCACTGTGCCACCTAGCTGCCCCTCATCCCTGATTTCTTATCCCAAAAAGGGGCATTCATTTTTCTTCAGCCATGAAACTTTAACTTGAAACTCCCAAACCATAATCTCAAACACTTCAAATGAGGAAATGGTGTTCAGTTAAAGCAAACTATCTAGCCACACAACATATCTCATCACCCATGTGCAGGAAACTCGATCATTCACTTAAGCCATGGGTCCCCACCAAGAGGCAGATCTCCAAATCTTACCTTCATTCCATAAACATTGGTTTAGCACCAACTGTATACAAAACACTGTGCCTAACCACTGGAGAGTTACAAAGTTTCGATAATACAAGGTCCTTACCTTCACGGAGCTTACATTCTACTAAGGAGATAAGACACAAATACAGATGACCATAATACATGATATTAAATGATAAGTGAATTAGAGAGGTTCAAAACAAAAATAATGTGTAAGGGCCAAGGGGAGGACATTACTGATTTGGGGGAACAAAAGAATCATAATAAAATGATTACCTTGGCAACTATGTGAAGAGTAGACTAGAGGGAGCCTAGAAATATGGAGACCAGTCAGAAGGTTTTTAAAACAGTCATAAGATCACAAAATCATAGATTTAGAACTGATAGGAAACCTGCAAGTCATCTAGTCCAATACCCTCATTTTATAGATAAAGAAACTGAGGCGCAGAGAGGTTAAGTGACTTGCCCAAGGTCATACAGATAGTCCATATGGAACCTAACCTAGGGTGCTAGCATTGTGAATGGAAAGGAGGGGATATATATGAGAAATATTCCTGGGACAGAATCAACAAGATTTAGCAATTGATTAGATATGAGGGGTTTAAGGGAAAGGGAAGAGTCAAAGATGACTCCAAGGTTTTGAGCCTCAATGACTGAGTAGATGATGGTATCACTAAAATAAAAATGTAAAAGATGGACCAAGGAGCAGATTTGAGGGCAAAGATAATGAGTTTAATTTTGTATCTATTAAGTTTGAGATGTTGCAAGGATATTTGGGTAAACTATCCAGTAGACAGATGGAAATACCAAAGTAGAGCTCAGGGTCTGGGCATCTAGATTTGGGAAGGATAAGCCTATGGGTGAAAATTGAAGCCACAGGAGCTGTTGAGATTACCAAGGAAGGCAATATGAAGAGAAGTGGACTGATGTTTCATGAAGGACTCAGTGGACCTCCATTTCCTCCCTGCCCAGTCTGTGTTTATCTGGGCAGACATAACAGTCTTGTAGAATTTGAAGGGCTATCACCTAGTGCTAGAGGTTGGATTTATGCTTGTTCTGTTCTAGCCCCAGAAAGTAAAACCAGGAGTAATGGGTGGAAGTTGGAAAGAGGTAACTTTAGACTTGGTGTAAGAGAAATGTTCCTGACAATCAGTTGTCAAAAAGTGGGCAGCCTAAGGGGGTGGGAGATTCTCTTTCATTGGAGGAAAGGCTGGGTGACCACTTGTCAGATGTGCTGTAGAGGGAACTCAAAAATGCTGGGTTGGACTAGATAGTTAACATCTCTCTCTTCCATCTCTGCAATTCTGTGATTCTGTGACTTACATGTGGCCATTACAGCAGGTAGATGAATGCTGTGGCCAAGCCTCAAACTCTGCTCTTCTAAATACAAGTCCAAGACTCTTCTTACCATACTATAATATTTCTCATATAACAGGATACATTGCAGTGACTAGGGCAGAGAGTTTCTCAAAGAGGAGAGTTCTTGCTGAGAGTCCAGTCATTATAAAACAAATACTGCTGTTTACTATTTAATTCAAAGCAGGATCTATATAGCTTTGGTCAGGTAAACCCCCAAAGTTTATATTGAGTGTGCAATGAGCTCTCAATGAGATAAATCCAGCTCTTTCCATCTCTAAAAAGGTCACAGTGTTACAGTTTCAATCATTCACCAAATGCTACATAAAAATAAGAGATGTGTCACTTACAGGAAGGATACTTAGGTCAGGAAAGTTGAGTAAGCTTAGGTAGCTATCCCCTTGCATCCTTTTCAAAGCACCTCCCACCCACTTTTATCGCCATTTTACCTACATATCAGTCCTTTGTGGACAAGGAAGGCAAAGGTATATTATTTCACAGATGGAGAAACTGAAATTAACCGGGGAGGGGAGGGGAAATGACAATCTCAAAGGATAGGTCATCATCAGAACCCAAGAATCATGACTGTCAGATTTTTACACCAGATAGAGGAAGGAAGTAGATAAACAACAGAAAGTAGGAAGAAGGGAAAGTCAATCATGTATGCTTTAGCAGAAATTCTTGTCCAGGTAAGGACTGAACAAGAGGACCTCTGAGGTCCTTCCAACTCCATAGTTCTGAGGCTGATAAGCAATCTCTAAGAAGTAGAGAGTTTGGAAAGGATGGATGGCTAATGGGGAAGGCTCAAAGTAGATATAATCCCCCTATGACGACAAGGTTATTTTGATCAACCTCAACCTTTCAACCCTTTCTTAATTCCTCTAATCTCTTAGTTAGACAGTAAGAAAATATGTGTGTGTGTGTGTGTGACACACACACATATATACACATATATTTCTTTTTTAAGGGGGAGGAATGTTGGACGGCTGATTTTAAAAATTGTACCCTTTTAAAACAAAACAAGTTCAGTGCTCAAACTCCAGTAACCTCATTTATTAAAATTTGGAAATAGTAACATGCCAGCAACATAGAACATATATATGAGTTTAAAACTTACCTAGAGAGACCAGTTCAAAAGGATCAGTTGTGAACTGTATCTGGCTAGAAAAAATCAAATGGTCTGTGGGTTAAGGACAGGGCCTTGGAGGTGAAAGATTGAACAGTGAATGCCAAATAGAACATGTACAGAAGAGAACAAGCCTCCTCCCAGCTTTCTTCCCAGCTTCTGGGAGCAAGAGGTGGCACCCACCCTGAGCAGATTATTTTACCTAGCCACCTCGATCCAAGAGCAGTCTAAGAAGGCTGAGCCACCCTAACTTCACCAGGGTCCACTGTCCCAATGTACTCCGGGGAAAGATGAGAGTGGGGGCACAGAAGAGGGAAAGATTCCTTAGCGTCCACTTCCCAATCCTGGGACTCACCGGACCAATTCTTACACAGCTGTAATGAACTCTGCTTGTGTGACCTTGGGCTCTCCAGCCCAGGATGCAACCTGCTGCACCCAGAGTTAAGTGAGCCGAGGTCTCGGAGATGAGAGCGGACGCCCCCAGCCAACCTCCTGCTTCCCTGCGTCCGCTCCCCCCTCCCATCCCCCGCAACCCAAACACTAGTAAAGAAGCCTAAGCCCGAAGCCCGCGGATTCCCCTGCGCTCCCTCAACTCACCCGTGATCGCGCTCCGGCCCCCGGGGGCTTGGCGGAGCCCTCCCCGCTGCGTCGCAGCTCCCCGGTGGGGAGGAAGGTCGACGCGGCCAGGGGACTCTGGGGCCCCGGTGCTGTTCTCCCGCTCCCAGGACACAGGCAGCAGAGGCGGCGGAAGCCCGAAAGCGGGGCCTGGCTCCCGCTCTGGTTCCAGGTCCGCGGCCGGGAGGTGAGCTCCGCTTAGCTGGCCCCGAGGGGAGGCTGTGGGCACCAGCAAGGGCGGTGAGCCCCGAGTCTGGGAGACCCCGAGCAGCAGCAGCAGGAGCGGCAGCAGCAGCAGCGGCAGGAGCGGAGGCAGCCGCGGCCAGAGCAGAGCGCACGGCGTGGCCATGATCCCGGAGCCCAAGCCTCACATGCCCAGCCGAACCGGCCTGGGGCTGGGGCAGGGGCGTGTGTACTGGCGTGTGTGTATGTGTGCGAGCGAGCGTGTGTGTGTGTGTGTGTGTGTCCGGGTGCGTGTGTATGTGTGCGAGAGAAAGAAAGGGAGAAAGATGCAGGGAGGCGAGGGAGGAGGGAGGTGCGGTCCCGGGGAAGAGGGAAGAGCTGCAGAGGGGAGTAAGGGACCGTTCCCGCTTCAAAAGTTATCCCAGACAGCAGCAGGACAAGCGAGCGGCCGAGGCGAGGCGAGCGGCGGAGCTGAGGAAAGGCGGCCCGGGCTCAGCTACATGCTAATTAGCCGGAGCCCTCCAGGGCCCCGGCCCAGCTCCTCCTAGAGGTTGACATCACTCGGTCGGTGGGGCGGGCAGCTTCGGCCCCAGCTCCCCCAAGCCCGACCTAGACACAGAGGGGGCGGGGAGAGGGCAGGGGAAGAGACCGGCCCTGGCTAGGGGGTGTGTGGGGCGGGGGGGTGAGGGTGGAGGCAGTCTGGCTGGCCTCTCCTCCATCCCCTACCCCTCCCGGGGACCTCCCTATGCACACCACCAGGCTTTGGAATGATGCTGGTGATGTAAATAAATGAAGCTTTTAAACAATGTAACTTTCACAAACACCAGCACCCCCAGGACATTTTGGAACTAGACGTGTGTTAGAGACCGCCTGAGAAGGAGACCCTCCCAAGGAAAGGGGCCTGAAATTCAAAGCTCTCTACGAGCTGAGGAGTGAACATGAAATGGAGGCAGGGGCTTTGTGTGATTGTAGGAATAGAAATGATACAGGACTTGTGATTTCATTGGTCTAGGGAACTCCTAGATGTGGAAAAGCTCCCCGGTAAGTTCTCTGCAACTTTGAGACTGCCTCAAGATAAGCACTGAAAGTTTAAATCACTTACCTAGGGTCCCACAGTATGCCAGCATGAGAAAAGAGCTGGGAGCTTAAACCCAGGTATTCGTGGCTTCAAGGCTAGCTTTCTATCCATTAGGTCATACTGCCTCTCCTTATGTAGTATATTATTTATAGTGAGGCTTTGATGGGAGAGAACCTTTTCACTATAACTCGAATTGGAAGGAACTTCAGAGAGCATCTAATCCAACCAACCTCAGCCAGTCCCTTATTTTAGGGATGAGAAAACTAGGTACCAGAGAGATTAAATGACTTGAGAGTGTCCGAGGTGCGGTTTAACCCTAGGTACTCTGACTACAGAACCAGTATTCTTTCCACTGTACCAGGCTATCCCCTATCCCTGTATTCCCCTCCACATGGATCACTTGGGTGACTGTGGAAAGAACACTGACTGACCTACCAGTCTGGGAGACTTGGGTGCCAGTGCTGGCCCCAGCTCTGTAACGAGCTGTGTATAACCTTGAGTGAATACTTCACCATTTCAGGTCTAAGTATCCTTCTTTTGAAAAAGGAGGCAGGGGGAGTTCTAAGGCTCCTTTTAGCTCCAGCATTCCACGAAACCAGGCAGATTGACAGCATCTTCGAATTGGAAAAGACCTGAGAGGTCCAATCTAAGCCAGGACAAAAAAAAAAAATCCCTTCTACAAAGTAACCGACAGAAGTGCTCCAACAGCCTTTGCCTGGAGACCTCTGGTGAAGGGAAACACATCAGCTTCTGAGGGAGCCCATTCCACTTTTGAATAGCTCGTTATATTGTTAGTGTTTCCTTTCTCTGAAACTTCCACCCATTTCTCCTTGTTCTGGCCCCCTAAGGACAAGCAGGACAAATTTAATCTTTCCCCAACTGCTTTTTAAATACTTAAAGACAGTCGTCATGCATTGCCTCCCTCTCCCCACCCCCCAACCTCCAGTTTTCTCTTTTCCAGGATGAATACCCCCAATTCTTTCAACTGATCCTTAGATCCATGATCTCAAGGGTCCTTCATCATTCTGGTGGCTTTTCTCCAGGTCCTCTTCAACTTGTCCAAGGTCTTTCCTAAAATGTGGTGCCTGGAACTGAAAACAATGCTCCAGACAGGAGTGGGGGAGGACACACCAAAAGCCAGGAAGTAGAAAGTAGGAGAGCAGTAAAAATTGGAGAGAAGGTAGGAAAAGGGAGGCAGGGGTAACCCCTGGGATGAGGAGGGGAAGGAAGGGTGTCGACTGGTGCTAATTAGGTTGTTAGATCTCAGAATCCTTGAGAGAAGGGAATTGGTGCCCCCAGATTTTTAGTCCAGAGATCTCTAATTAGTCAAATTCCACAAATATTTCTTAGGTGCCTACAATGTACAAAATATTGTGCTAGGCATTAAGGACATAAGGACCAAAACAATCCTTACCCTCAAGGAGCTTACATTCCCCTACTGTAGAAAACAGTGATGCCTATACATTTGAGCAAATACAAATTTCAGGAGATAGCGCTAGATCTGGTAGCGATTGAGACTGGGACCTAGAATCATTGTCCAGATGATATATTTTCATTAGTGCTGTACACAGTCCTTACAAACTAGCTTCAGGGAAGCAGGAAGAGTTAGAAGGAAATTAGGGGTTAATGGCCCAGAGTGTTAAAGGCAGCCCCACTGATTCAAGAACTAATGATTGTCCTTTCCTCTCCCCCTCAGGTTTTCACCCTAGCCAAGTGATAGGGTATGGAATGACTTCTCTGTAAGTCACAATGTCCTTTCATGAGTCACCACAGGGGGAAAAAAAAATTATCGCCTTGCAGCCAAACTTTTGGTGATGAGTCTTTCACACTATTCCACCTTAAATGATTCAAAATTAATAATCATTCACAGAATCAGGGCCAAAACAGAAACTGAAATTCATTTGGGAGAAATGATGATTCTGAACTTTATTTTGCCTATTCATTGATTCAAAAATTAGTGATCACATACTAGTTATATGCAAAGCATAGTATGGGGCCCAGGGGAGATATAAAGAAAAATAAGATGGCTCTCTCACCCTCAATGATGAAGGAAATAGCAAACTGTTCCAGTATCTTTGCCAAGAAAATCCCATGGACGATATGGTCCATGGGATCACAAAGAGTTGGACTCCACCAAAGGAGTGAAGCACAAAAACTCAACTTCAAGGTCCTTACAACAATAAAGGTGCCGGAATGGACAGCACTACCAGAGATGATTCTGTCTTCCTGACCTCTCTATGTCTTCCCCACTTTTTCTATAAGTACCTATTTCTATTGCTTTAACTCAAGTTTTATTGATGCCTTCTGTTTTAGCACCACAGTCATTTCTGCCCCCGATAGTCCTTCCTGTAACAAAGTAAGGATGTAGGCAAGGCCCATGGACAAAGAAACCCCAGCTGTCAGTGGTATGTCATCTTCCACACGGTTAGGCTTTCACCTCTGACTGATCAGAAGGAGGTATGACTCATCATTTGTTCTCTGGAACCAAGATTAGTCATTACAATTCATTGGAGCACAGCTGCTTTTTAGTGCTGTTTTTTGTTTTGTTTTGTTAATGTAGTTATTGTTATTATAGTATTGTTCTCTTGGTTCTGCTTATTTCATTCAGCAGCAGTTGCTAAAAGTTTTTCCAATTTTCTCGAAATTCTTCATATTCATGTTTCTTACCACACAATAGTATTCCATTACAGCCATATGCCACGATTTCTTCCGCCCTTCCCTAATCAGTACCCACTTTGTTTCTAATGCTTCACTACCACAAAGCATGCTGCTATAAATATTTTGGCATATATAGGCCCTTTCTTTCTGTCTTTGACCTCCTTGGGGTATACGTTTAACAGTTGATATCATTAGGTCAAAGGGTATGAACAGTTTAGTCATTATTCTTGCATAATTCCAAATTATTTTCCAGAACCGTTGGACCAATTCACAGCTCCACCATCTGTCTCTTTCTCTATGTCATTCTTTCTGTCTGCAGATATTCCATGACCCACCATTGGCAGAAGGGCCTTAGCATGCATGAATAAACAGGATGGGGGTACAGGAAAGCTTTAGATCAAGTTACAACCCTGCTCAGGCTTCGATTTTTGGTGCTGCTATATGAATTTAAACCTACCGGGAGATAAAGGGTGTTCTGCACAGAAAGTCTTAAAGAAGAAACAGAGAAAGAAACATGGGGTAGGATGAGGGGTAGGGAAGGGGACAAGAGGAGAAAGAGGCAGGCAGACAAAGAAAAAATACAGAGAGAAGGGGGAGGAAAGAAGGAAGGGAGGGAAGAGGAAAGAAAGAAAACTAAGAGATTTAAAAAAAAACTGACCCCAAACTTTCCAGTGCCCTGACATAAAATCATCAGGTAAGAAAGCGATGTCCTACACATAGGATCATTCTTTCCTTTGATCAAGAAACATTCCTTGAACGATGACTACTGTGTGTGCAAATTACTGTCCTCAGTGTGGCCACATCTGACATCACCATCATTCCAAGTCAGTTGGAACTAAAACTCAGGGTTTTCTCGGTCCTCTTCCCTCATCTACTCTTCATTTACAAGCAAAACATGGCAGAATGACCTCTCCAAGGCTGGCCAAGTTAAATCCCAAGGTGCAAAGTCCCTTAGCACTGTATCCAAAGGTTCAAGCCACTGCTTCTGCCTCCTTCAAAATAGAAAAGTATTTTTATTTCTACTAGTTCTACTGGGATTATCCTTTTGTTTTCAGGGACAGTGCAACATACTCACAAATTACTGGTTTTGGATGTACACCCAGACATCCCTCCAGAAGTAAAAATGTCTCTAATCCCTAGGGTACAAGAAATTGTTATCTAAAACTGCCTGTGATCGCCATCTGCCCCCTCTCTCCATTAAGCATTAAAAAGGCTTATGTTTCTCCAATCTTCTTTCTGCTATCTGAGGTAAAGGACAGTGGATACAAAGGATAACAGCCCTGTCTGTAGTTAATCCCAGGGGTTTGGTGGCCCTGTGTATAGTTAATCCTAGAGGTTGGGTGTGGGGAGATGCAGAAAGAATCTATGAAGATTTATTAGTCAGGACAGAAGCCAACTCTTCTCCATCTCTACTGAGAAAATAATAAGAG